AAGAGTTGCCGTGGACTCTCTCTCTCTCTCTCTCTCTCTCTCTCTCTCTCTCTCTCTGTGTGTGTGTGTGTGTGTGTGTATGTGTGTATGTGTGTCCCAGACTGGCCTTGAATTCTTGATCTTCCTGTGCTAGCATCAAGGGCTGCACAATTACACTAGCCAGTTATGGTGGTGCACACCTTTAATTCCATCACTGGGGAGGTTGGTAGTCTAGTCTAAAGGATGAGTTCTAGGAGAGACAGGGCTGCATAGTGAGATGTCTTAAAAAAAAAAAAAAAAAGAAAAGAAAAGAAAAGAAAAAAATTGAAAGTAGCAAACGACTTTCCCGGAAAGTTCACCTCATTTTCGACTCCAAATCTGGGGAACCGGGTTGGGGGCATCCTCAGTATGTGCCCCTAACACAAGTTAATAGTTAGGGACAGTCCTAAAAAGAACCTGGAAGAGGAAGAAGAGAAGCAGAAATATGGACCTGGTTCCTTTTTCATGCCAGGCTCTAAGAGCCCAATGCTGGCTTGTGGCGAAGGTGGGGTGGGAGCCCGTTTGCACACCATTCTCCAACTCTGCTACACAGCCATTGGCAGCAGCTACATGTACAACTGTCTACTGTGACCTCAACTATTCAGCGGTTGGCACAGCTTTGGCTGGAGTGCAGGGCAGGTGGTGGGTGGCAAAATTGCTTCAGTTGAGGGTAGGAAGGGGATGGGTGGGATCAAAGTCCATGTTTGTTTGTTTGTTTTTTTGTTTTGTTTTGTTTTGTTTTGTTTTCTGAGACCAGGTTTCTCTGTGTAGCTGTGGCTATCCTGGAACTTACTGTGTACATCAGGCTGGCTTTGAACCTGGACATCTGCTTGCCTCTGCCTTCTGAGTGCTGGGATTAGAAGTGTGCACCAGCACTGCTGGGCTTGTTGGTTTGGTTTTAAGAGTTTCATGGGCTTCTTACCAGATTAAAAGGTTCAGCCTAAACACAGTAAAGCTAAATAACAGAATAGGATGCAAATGAGGTTCAGTTTAGTAAAGGCTGAGTAAGCAGGGGGCAATGCATGGCTAGAGACTGGTAATTTGAATATAACTGGCCCCCAAAATCTCACAGGGAATGGCACTAGTAGGAGGTGTGGCTTTGTCGGAGTGGGTGTGGCCTTGTTGGAGGAAGTGTGTATCACTGTAGGGGATAGCTTTGAGGTTTCCTATGCTCAGGGTTTTGCTTAGTGTCTCAGTCCACTTCCTGTTGCCGGCACAATGTCGAACTCTTAGCTACGACTCTAGCATCACATCTGCCTGCATGCTGCCATGCACCCCTGCCATGATGATAATGGACTGAAACTCTGAAACTGTAAGCAATCCACCCCAATTAAATGTTTTCATTTATAAGAGTTGCCATGGTCATGGTGTCTCTTCACAGCGATAGAAACCTTAAGACAGAAACCAAGAATGATTAGGAACTACCACAACATTCCTAACTTTGAAGAAGGACTGATACTGTGCCTTTACTGAGTGTTTAATAGTTTTCTACACTTTCCTGTATGTTGTCTTTTTCCTAAAGGCAGCCCGAAGAGCCTCCCGGGGAAGAAGGTGGGGTGAGCTTTGCAGCATGGACAGTGCCTGTCGCTGTCCAGTCTGTGATGGAGTCCAGGCAGTCTCTGGTGCTTGTTTAAGTGGAGACTCAGAAGTAAAGGATTCTATAGGTGTTAGGACGTGTGCTAAGTGTGCTCTGTGGGTGCAAGTGAACTCACCATGCCTGTGAATAGGCACCTGGAGACAGAGTCCAGAGTTAACTAGATCTTATCATCACGAGACTTGCTTCGTTTCTCTTGGCCTCAGTTTGCCTCTCTAAAATTAGATGAGTGATGGCTTCCAGCTGGAAAATTCTTTGATTCTGAGCGTACAATTCTTTCCTTTTGAAAAATCGGATTTTGAGATTCCAGTTTGCATCTTTGTTTTGGCCACTTTGCCCATCAGTTATCCTCAGCCATTTCTTTTTTCATTTTTACACCCGTAGATTCTCATTTGGGCTCACACGGTATTCTTGGGTTGGACTCACACCTCCCGGTTTGTAGGTGGAGGCGACAAAATTGGGGTTTGTCTCAGCTCTGTCTCTGCCTTTGAGCTGACATTTCCAACACAGGCCACCCTGCTACCTCCTGTGCTCCAGACACAGTCCCCCTCTGCTTAAGTCGGATAGTGTAGAGGGAGTGTCAGTTATGCAGGAGGCGCCCAGTAAACCCGAGAGAAGCAGAAAGAAATTCTGGGAGCACAGGTGAGAAGGAGTGCCACCTGCGCCACTTCACACTGAAAGGTCTTTTCTTCTGCAGGTGGAAGTAGCCCCTGTCCATCTTGCATCGTTGTGTTTAAGAGGAGAGGTGATGTGCTGATGTCCATTGTTTGTTTGCTTGTTTTCTGAATCAAGATGAGTCTGAGATGTACTGAAAGGTCCCGACTTGAGAGGGGTCAGGTTGCCTGGGGTTTCTCAGGCAGGCAAAGGCTGTCAACAGGCAGCTGGCACCAAGTTGCCGGGACAGTGGCACCGTTGAATCCTCTCTCCCAAGACTACTTCTTGTGTTTGGTGTTCTGTTCAATGCAGTTGGGGCCCAGGGGCAGCAGTCTGGATGGGAACAGCCTGGTGCTGGTTTGGCTGAACTAACTGCTCGGATCTCAAGGGGATCCACTGCCAACTGAGCCTGCTCTCCCATTTTCCCTACCAAAGCCAAAGACCTTCACTCACCAGGGGCTTATCAGGGTTAATTAGCACCGGAAGTTCGTTCGGCCAGCCACAGAGGAAGAGTGATGAGTGCTACTGTGATGCAATGTATCCTGGGGTACAGTTTGCCCTGGGCTGCCTTGACCAAGTAACAAAGAGGACTTGGGGCGGGGCTGGCATCCTCCTGCCTCCCATGGCTCAGGGCTGAGCATATATTCTGGGTGAAGCTTTGGAGAACCCGTCTTGTTCAAGAAGACAGACTCAGCTCTGACATCCCCCATTCACCAAACACCCCCGTCGAGGGAACACCTTCTAACCTTCTACCAGCACCAACAAGGATTTCCCACCACTGTCCCCAAGATAGAGAAGTCTGTGCCTGATGTCAAGACTCCTGCACCCATCTGTTTTGTGTATGTGTCTATGTACACTTGCATGTATGTGCTCTGTGCACATGCACTCATAGGCCAGAGGAACATGGCTGATATCCACTTTCCACCTTATTTCCTCACTGAGCCAGGAACTTAATGTTTCTGTGGCTAGGTTGGCTGGCCGGAAAGCCCCTGGAATCCTGTCTCTGTCCCACATAATGCTAGGGTCACAGGCTCGTGTCCACATCTGGCCTTTACCTTAGTCTTACAATATACTTTTTAAAGATTTAAGATTTTGTTTTGTTTTGTTTTGTTTTTTGAGATGGGGTTTCTCCGTGTAGCTCTGGAGCCTGACCTGGCACTCACTATGTGGATCCATCTGCCTCTGCCTCCTGAGTGCTGTGACTAAAGGCCTGCACCACCACTGCTCCAAAAACGTTTTTAAAGTTTTGCCTGCATGTACTTACATGTACCATGTTGGGTGCCGGAGGAGTCAGAAGAGGGCGTCTGATCACCTGGAACTGGAGTTTAGATGGTTGCAGCCATCGAGTGGATGCTGGGAATGGAACTCAGGTCCTCTGTAAATTCAACAAGTGCTCTTACCCAATGAATCACCTTCTGGGCTCCATCCTGAATCTGTCTTTAGGTCTTTGATGTGCAATGTCTTTCTGTCCCTTCTCAGGCTGAATTATGCTTGGTACTTTGTGCCAAGAAAATGCAGAGGAAAGTCTCAGAACAGCCCAGGGTTCTGACAAGGCAAAAATTTAAAAAGACACAAAATCCTTCGCCCTCATTTCCGCTGCTTCCCATTGGTCCCCAGGCACAAAACGTTACTGTATTGTGAAACAATTGGATTCATTATGAAAACACCTACTCCTTTAAATATTTGAAAGTAGAATGGAAAAAAAAATGATAAACTCGAAGGGTGGGGGTGTTATGTTGGATTAAGTAAAATTGTGCTCAAAGACCAGAGATGGGAAAGCGACTTGGAAAGAGGGCTTTCCGGACCAGAGGGAAGGACAGCGAGGAAACAGCGAGGAAGCTGAAGTCTGGAGCTAATGAAAATCTGGCCCCCAACACAGTGGATTTTTCCCACCATTGTGTGCTCCTTTGCCGGTTGCCAGCTCTGGGAGAGTCCCAGGGGAGCCCGGACTTAAGGCTAAAGTGGTGTTTGTAACTTTGTCATTGGGAAATGATGTCGCAGGTTAGTCACACAGGCCCTGATCGATGATGGAGGCAGCAGCAGATCAATAGATCCCATTTCCGGGGAGAATTCACCCGTGGTGACCTGCAGGGGGTCAGGTGGTTCATAAAAAGAAGGCTGGCTTGAAAGATTTAATGCTGGTCTCTCCGTTCTCCCGGTCTCCGCTTGGAGCTGTAGACTGTAATAAACTACTTTTCCTTAAAGAGATCTGGGAAGATGGCAGTGGTACAAGGGACAGAAAGGTGACCACAGATCCTCTGCGAGACGGGAAGCCAAGGGTGGGGGCGCTCTGGGCTCACTCGCCCCGAGCCTCCTCCTTCCAAAGCTATCGAGAGTTTGGGTGCTGAGCAGAGTAGCCCTTCCAGGCCACGCAGGGCTGCAGCCCCTCGCCGTCCGCCCGAGCCCCTCCCCCGGGCCGGAGCCCCTCCCCGCGCTTCCCCTTGCCGCGCTCCCCTCCCCTCCCTTCCCCTCCCTCCCTTTCCCTGCCCGCTCCGCCTCCGCCTCCTGCGCCCACAGCGTCCGCCAGCGCCGAGCCCCCAGGAGCCGGATCGCGGCCCAGGGGCGCAGCCCGCCCCTCCCCGGCGCGCTGACAGCAGGCCCGGCCCCCGCCCCGTGCCCTCGCCGGCGGGACACACCCCCAGCCCTCCTCTGCGCCGCCAGTTCCCGCCAGCCCCACCGGGCGGCAGAGAGAGCGGGCAGGCGATCGGAGCAGCGAGCTCGGCGGCGCGGGAGGGAAGGGGCGCGCGGCAGGCCCACGGGAGCCGCCTGGGGCGCACGGAGCCCCTGTGCCTTCCAGGACAGTCGCATGCCCGGGAGCCGCAGCTGTGGGCGCCGGGAGCCCGGGAGGCGAACGGCGCGTGGGGCAGGGGTGGCGCGGAGCCGCGGGGACCCGGGCAACCAGAGAAGGAGCTAGAACCCGGCCGGGATGAGAAGGTGACGCCGCCGGGGGGCGCCACTCGCTTTGTGGGGAAGATGCTCGCCTACTGCGTGCAAGATGCCACCGTGGTGGACGTGGAGAAGCGGAGGAGCCCCTCCAAGCACTATGTGAGTACCGCTCCCACCAACCCCGGTGGAGGGCTGGCCAGGGCCCGGGGTGGCCCCTCGCCTCTTCTCACTATTAAGTCCCAGAGATTCGTGACCCCCAGAGGCCGCCCTTGGATCCAGAGTCAGTTCGCAGGGCTGTGATCTCTAGGGAAACCTTTTCTGTCCTTCCTCCACTCCCGTGTCCCGGGTTTCTTTTTTTGGCATTGCAATTGGCAAGTGGCTGCCCTTGTCTGTTACAACGGTGAAGTCATGTGTCCGCCCGCCGCTTGGATGGGTGGTGGGGGACGCTTTCGTCAGCCTCTTGCGGAGCAGTTCCTTTGGGAAAGAGCATTTTCGCCGCGCTCCCTAGGGGCGCGGGGCGCTCGGCGCTCTTGCTCACTCGGCCCGGGATGCTTTTAGTTACTTTGAACGGAGACCCACGCATCGCTTTCTGCCTTCCACGTTTGCTGCTCCGCCAGCACAGGCTGGGGTCTGGGGACTGAGGAAGAGCTTTGCCCCCTGCCCCCTCCACTCTTCGATTCGAGCTTTGATTTCCTCCTTAAAACCATTGTATCCCGCGGTGTGAGGAGAACTGTGGCTTTTCCTTTTATCCCCTCTCTGGACGTGACCCTTCGCCGGGGTCATTTCCTCGTAAGTGATGCTCTGTCTCCAGACACGAGTAGGCAAATGTGGTCTGTGGTCTCCGAGGCACGGTTGACTGCCCAGTCGCCCCTCCCCCTTCCTTACCCAAACTTAATGAGAAGAGGCAACGGTTGACCGGCTGGGTTTCAGGGTGTGTGACAGTCTCCTTTCATCTCAGCCGACCCTGTCTTCCAATCCTTCACACCTTTGGAAGTAAACACCGCGTTCTTGCTGCCTGAGGATGGCTTGCTGAGCTCCTGCACTTGATAGGAGACCCACAGTCCAGTACCCAAGGCACAGAAGACATGGGGGCAGTAGGGCAGCCTCCCAGTTGCAAATTAGGCATTTAAAGGAGCATTTAGGATGCTCAAGGATGCTCATTTTAACAATTAAAACAGGCTGTTGGTTGCTGCCCTAGATAGCACGTTGGTCTCTGAAGTGCCTTTTATTTCCCTATCGGAAGGAGGCTGGGTTTGTGGTGTAATACCAGCCCGGGGCTACTCTTTCTGCCTGGATCACAGCAGACCTGAAGACAGGGTTCTCTACAATTGACTAGTGTGTGTGTGTGTGTGTTGGGGGGGGGGGGACTCAGGTCGGGAAGAAGAGTGACAGACACGGAGGTGGACCTGTGAGGACAATCCCTGACACACAGTCAGGGATCCTTTACAATCTTGTCATCTGGTGTTGAAAGGCTCAACTGCCATTACAAAAACAAAACCAAACCAAAAATTCCTTTAGGGCTTGAGGAGGTGGCTTTGGTGGCAGAGCCTTTGACCTGCAAGCTTGAGGCACTTCTATCCCCAGCCCTACAAAAGAAGAAAACTTTTTGGGTTTTCTTGGGTCAGCAGGTGGTCACCCTGCTCCAGGGTGAAGGATGATGGATTTTCCCCCCATCCTTTAGTTGGGGACCTTTCTTTCAGCAGTCAAAGTCTCTGCCCTGAGAACCCAGCAGGTGTTTTCCCAGCTCTGGATTTTACACAGAAACCAAATTTTAGCTCTGAGCAGCTGTGCCTGAGATTATAATGTACAACACACTGACAACAAACTAGCAGTAAACGGGACAAAGACACACGTCTTGGCAGCATTGAAGGGCAGGGCGGGTGGGCTACTGTTCAATCTCCTTAAAAGGCTGGCTCACCCGCTAGCAAGTAGTGCATCATTTTGGTGCACATCTTCAAAACTTTATGGGCCTCAGTTTCCCTGCTTTGCGAAAAAAAATATTTATTTTTCGAGATAGGATTTCTCTTTATAACCATCATAAAACTCACTCTGTAGACTGGTCTGGCCTGGAACTCACAGAAATCTACCTGCCTCTGCCTCCCAAGTGCTGGGATTAAAGGCGAGAGCCACTACCACCCATCGAAAAACAGTTTTTTAAAATTATTTTATATGTGTGAGTGTTTTGCATGCATGAAGTTGCTGGGATCCCCTGGATCTGTGGTTTGGATGGTTGTGAGCTGCCATGTGGGTGCTGGAGATTGAGGGAGGGTCTTCTGGAAGAGCTGCCAGCACTTGTAACTGCTGAGCCATCTCTCCAGCCCTAATTTCCTCACTTTTAAAGTGAACATAATGATAGTATTACTTCATGAGGCTGTCAGGAGAATGAAATGACATCATCCACGCGGAGTACTTATTCCAGTTCTGGGTACTAAGCCCTTGTCAGATAGTAGTAGCTAACTGTTGGTGAGAGTCTGCCTATGAAAGTTTGAAAAATAACCATTAGTGGTCTGCCTGAGGAAGGGAGTCTCGGCGCTTTAAGATTGATGACAAAGGGTACTGTGTGGACAATACAAAAGAAGTCCTGTCTACTTCCCATGGAGTGATCATTTCCTCCCTTTCTACAGACAGTGTTTCCTGGGTCATCTCCACTTCCGTGTAAGAATGGATGATGTGATGCTTGGGGTAGAGAGTGACGTCACCTGCAGATGGGATCACACAAAGTTCTAGAAAACAATGAAAGGAGTGTGTTGTGTGTTGTGGCATTGTGGAGCTGGCTGGGGCAGACAGCTCATCCCATCTGCATCCGGCGCAGCCCTTTACTTACTTACAGATGAGGGCCCGGAGAGCGGGTGGGTTACTTACAGGGTAGCTAGTCACAGCACTGATGCTAACTGGCCTCAAGCCTGTGGCGGGAGCTTTGTTCCCTGAAGGTACCCAGAGTCTGGTTGAGGTTGACAAGGAAGACAGACGCATCACTACACATTTGGGGGCACTAATGGGTAACACCAGGGGTGCCCAATGATAAAAGGAGTCCAGTAGGGCTCTGCGGCGATCACCTCCCTTTTTTACCCTTGTATAGTAGATAACCCACGCTGGAAGGGCAAATGTTCTGGATAAGGCTACTCTGGCATGCTTAGCTGGCAGAATAAGCGGCACTAAAGTCACATACGTCCTGGTAAATTCTGCACTGAAGAAGCATGTCTCCTTCCAGCCTTCTTGCACAGAGGGCGAGTGCTGAGCCTGTGCTTTGGTGACTTGCAGAGCAGAGGGTTTGTGGGTGTGCAAGTTAGCCAGGGCTTGATAACGGGGGAGGCTTGGGGCCCATGCAAGAGGAGCAGCACTGGGTCCAGGACACTGGGAATACATACAAAGGTTCTCTCAGGACACCCAGCAGAGGGTGTGCATGCTCCCACAAGGAGGGAGGAGCACAGAGGCGGGGTGCCCGGTGCTTAGGGTCTGTTTATCAAAGGCAGACAAGTAGCCTCCATCTTCCATCGTGTGCATGGTGCAGCCAGCCCTTGGCTTCCTTCCTCTGCCAGCCCCTGGCAGGGTTGGGGCTGGGAAGGGTGAGCAGCTGCTGCTGAAGTCAGCCTCCCTGCCAGGGAGCTGGACTTCTGTCCTGCTCACGAGCTGTTCCTCGGGAGACCTTAGGGACACTGGCTTTGGCCTCAGACCCTGTCTTTAAGATGGCTCTGCAGATGCCAGATGCAAGCCAGAGCCTCCTCCACTGGAGAGTCAGTCTCCTGCCAGGGGTGTGAGTTCGGAGGCACGGAATCCCTTGGACTCACAGGTGTGTACAGGTGTGCTTAGAGCCATGTGGTGGTGGAGAGGAGCTTGTTTATCCAAAGCAAAGGAGGCATTATGTCTGTTTAGATTTGGGAGGTGCCCTGTTTTCACAGTTGTTTCCTTTCCTGAGTGTTTATTTCAGGCAAATATCAGTTGTGAATGCTCAGATCCTCCACAGGACTCTAGGGAATGCTAATAACAGCCAGTGTCAGGTGCTACCTTCCATGGTGCCCAATGCTAACAGGCATGCTCCCCTGGGAGCCTGATGGTTCATTGTGTGTGGGTGCCCGTGAGTGAATATGTGTGTGTGTGTGTGTGTGTGTGTGTGTGTGCGCGCGCGCACGCGTGCGAGTTGTAAGTGCATGTGTGTGTGCCCGTGAGTGTGTGTGTGTTTGCGAGTGAGTTGTGCGTGCATGTGTGATGTGTGGTGTGGGTGCATGTGGTATGTATGTGTGTGTGCACTCCAGTGTGTGTGTTGCTTTGATCCTTATTACAGTTCCATTGACCAAAGCCTGGTGAAATTAACTAGTTGCTTGAACTCTCACTTAGCTTCAATCAGTAAACACAGGTTAGTTTACCTCCCAAGGAGAAGCCCTAAGCCAGGCTCTTCCCATCAGAGTGCTGCCAGTGGGTCCAGGCTCAGGCCTGTGTGACAGAGTGGTACAGGACAGCATTAGAGGGCCGCCTTTCTGGGAAGCTTGTCCATCGTGTGCCATGAAACTGGGGTTGACTGGTCGTGGAGGGAGAGGTTCCTGGGGGAATGGTGTCTGTCTCCAGTGACCCTGGAAGGATGAGTGAAGGCTGGGCCTATGAAAATAATGCATTCTCCCTGCATTTAGATCATCATAGATTTTGGTTTTGCTTCCTGAGTTAGCTCCAAACGCATTCATTTCTCTACTTTTCATTTTTATTCTCTAAGCCCAGAGATTATGACTCCAGCCCCCCAGGAATGAGAGGTGCAGCCCCGTTTCAGGGTCTGGAATTATGGAGGAAGTGACATTGGGCAGATTGGGGTTCTGCCTCCCGTACTTCCTAACTGTCCAGCCAGTGACTCTGGGCTCCACGTCCTTACCTGTAAGCTCACAGTACTTTGTGGAAGTTTCTCATCACCAGAGTTCATCTAGGACCCATGGGTGAAACAGAAAAAGCAAGACTAGGCCGAAAGGAGGGCCCAGCTGTTCAGAGTCTATTGGGCTGCTTGCCCCATGGAAAGCACCCAGCGTACACCACACTGGTAAACAGGGAGCAGCTGTTCAGACCTGGAGGGGACCCTGACTGGGCAGAGGGGCCAGTGATAAGTGGAGAAGAGCAAGAATGTGGGTTGGGAGAGAAGGGAGGCTGCCCCAGGTAAGGACATGGCAGGGAAGGAAGAT